TCGAATGATATATAAATAAGAGTGGACCGACATTTTTACCTGAGTCTTTCGCGAGAAATATCATCATTGGTATTCACGTTCACTAGATCTTTTGTATGATATTCCCACGATATCAAATAGAATTCAGTAGCTTTTCTCATATGTTGACATACTATCAAAGAGAGAGAGAGAGAGAGAGAGAGAGCGTAAAAAGGGCTACGATCCGACGGGTAAATTAAGATAAATATGAACGGTGTGTTGGAGAAATGTCGAAAGCAAAATGTCGAAAACAGAGCAAATAAAGAAAAAACATCGAAAGGAAAAATGTCGAAACATACATATTAACGTGGAAAAACGTCGAAAGTGAAAAATAAAAAATAATGATATCTCCAGTATATGGCGATTCTAATCCCATTTAGTTCATTGTTTTTTCTTATAATTTCACTAGTGTAGAATTTTAGCCAGGATTGATAGGGATGACTAACTATTAATACAAGTAAAATGAAACAGTTGAACAAAGAATTATTATATAACTAAAATTGTACTGTCATGGCTGAAGCTTTCGTAATTTTAACTAGTGAAATTCAAGCAAAATCTCCTGCTATTTCATTTATAAATTCAAATAAATGAAAACCTCTACTAGTTGCCGATGAATATACTTTTAAATTGAATAAAGCAACAACAACTACAAAATATTGGATATGCACTATTAAGGATTGTGCAGCTAAAGTACATACTGATTCAAATAATGGATTGATGAAAAGTGTTGGCAATCATAGTCATATTCCAGGAAAAGAAAAACTTGAGGTTCATGAAGCTCGTGAAAAAATGACATATTTAAAAAGAACTTTTCTCACCCTTAACATTCCAGCTTAATTTCATACAAAAAACATACACTATATTATTTACAATTCTCTAAAATATTAACTGGCAATGGTTCATGTCAATATAATTTTTTCCACATTTTTTCTTTCGGCATTTGTCCTTTCGACGTTATGACGGCCAACTGTATGAACTATAATAACTGAAATATTTCATTAAAATGATTGGCTACGAACAGGAAATACTGTGGATTTCAGTGCAAAAGAAAAAGTAATGCAGATAAAGTCTAGATGTGATATAATGATTAAACGTGACTTAAAATGTCGATGTAGCTTCAAAACTAGCATAATGAAAACGAAAAAGTCGCGCTTGGACAGGGGGGCGATTTCGGCTGCTAAAGCCCCCCGCCCCCCAGGTGAACTAATCCAACATCGGATTCCATCGGATCTCTTAGGATCCAACATTCCGACAAAAACCCGACGGATTCCTGGTTGAGAAATTGCTGTCGGATCCGACGGACAAAATAATTTTTCTTAATCAGGAGAGAATAAGCATCTGATGCCATCAAAATACAAGGGTTGTATACTAGCGTCGGTTTCCGTTGAATTCCGACATAGGTTTTTCTCGGATTCCAGCGGCAGGGATCCGACTGTAAATCCGTTTCCAGGAATCCAACGGAATTTCATCGGTTTTATTAACATTTTAATGATATCGGATAGGATTCCCTC